GTTAAAATGTGAATTAAATTAACTATAAACTAGAGGCAACCGTTTTACAACTTTCAGAAGAAAAGGATCATTTACGAAAACACATCAAACCAAATAACTTTCATAAGAAAACGTTACATATTTGCTTTTTACAGTCCCGGAATATTTCTTTGCTTATGATGGTGATAATACTATTGTTGAGAAAGAGGATAATACTATCTATTGTTAATGGGGCGCGGTTCCTTTATTTTAAAGTGGATGTATTACATGTAAATGCTTTCTTACATCACTTAGGAAAACTTTATTTTAAAGAGAATACTACAAACTTATCCTGCTTTTTTTGGCATCAATAAATTTCAAATTATATCTTTTATTATATATCTTAAATAAATGAGTCCATCTCCAACCCAACACTAAAACTCTGATTTTCACACAAAAACCTTCTACAACCCAACATTAAATTTCATACTATTTTAGTGCAACATTATAATTTCACACCAAATTTGGTGTAACACTATTCACTACACTAAAATACTATTCATTCCATTAAAGCATTATTCACTTATTTTATTAATAAATTACACAATTAAATAAATGACAAATAAAAACATAAATACATATAATATTATAAAATAACTTTTACTGTTAAGTTTAGTGTTGTAGTTTGAGATGAACTTATTTTTAGTGCTGAAATTGCATTAAAATAGTGTAGTTTTAACACAAAAATAGTGTTATATGGGTTGGAGATGCTTAATGTGTATAATCTCTTCATTTTTTCATATACAGTATATTAAATATAGATGTTAAATTAAGAATAGTCAGCAATTAGTATCATTCGTTAATGTTTGTTTTGTAACGAAAGTAAAGTTTGTTTCCTTCACGGTAATCATATATTCATATAGCAAATGGTTTCTTACATCACTTTGACGGCTGTTTGCAGCCCTGAAATGACATGTAAGTTTAATCTGTTGCTAAGTATGTGCTTAAGGAAATTTTTAGATTTAGTTATTTCTTACAAAACGATAGTACTTTTAAAAAAAAAACTATAATATATACTTTTCTTATCATTTGGCACTTATATACAGATTTAAAATAACCACTGGCGCTTGAGGTCGAACACGTTTCTATGCCTCTAAAATGTAAGCGACGTGTCAGAATTTAAACAACCAGTTAATGAAAGCTAACTCCATTTTAGAGATTTGGTTTATGTGGATCGTTCAGACATACGTTTCATTAGTTGTTTCCCACACATTTTCAAAAGGACCCACGATTTTCACTATACTTAAGTGTTATTGGTTTAGTAGTGAAAACATATCTTATCAGCATCTATGGAAAATAAAAAGGAAAACCCAATCAAGAAATGACTTTTGTTAGATCATATCTTCTTATGATAGATATAAGCGAAAAAATCAGTTACCAGTCAAAAGACAAGTCAAAGTGATGAGCATTTGATTCGTTGTCTATTGAGACATGACTCAGGAAGTGCCTTCGACCTTGCACGTACTTGATAAGATTCATATTGTTTCAAATGATGCCAAGAGTATTAAAACGGTTATTATTTTCTCCAGAATTTAGCAAAATTTTATACAAAGTGAACACACCAAAATTATGTTTACATTGACAATTTAGGAATTTGGATGCTAACATCGCAGATGATTGCTTAGAAAAACGACACACAAAATGTCTAGATTTTTTGAGATCTGGATCATGTTTTTGTTTGCAGGGGATGATTCTCTTAACAATGGCGGTAACAATAAAATCCTTAAGACCCACATGCACAAACGGGGTATGCAACAAAGCATCCTCTTTACAAATAGCATTTTTCTACATGTCTCTTTATACCATAGCCATTGGAGCTGGTGGAACAAAACCTAATATTTCCACGTTTGGAGCGGACCAATTCGACAGTTACAGTCTTAAAGAGAAAAAACAAAAGGTCTCATTCTTCAATTGGTGGATGTTCAGCTCTTTCTTGGGTGCGTTGTTTGCGACATTAGGGCTCGTCTACATCCAAGAGAATCTTGGGTGGGGTTTAGGCTATGGCATCCCTACCCTAGGACTCTTTGTCTCCCTCCTTGTGTTCTATATCGGCACACCATGTTATAGACATAAGGTCATCAAATCAGACAATTTGGCCAGAGATTTGGTTAGAGTCCCTATTGCGGCATTCAAAAACCGAAAGCTTCACTGTCCTAATGATGTTTTGGAGCTTCATGAACTTGACTCACATTATTACAAAAGCACTGGTAAACATCAAGTTCATCACACTCCCATATTCAGGTCAGTGTTGCTTACCTTATTTGTCAAAAAGGTTGCTTACCTTACAATCGATATGAATTAATAATTTTTTTCTCATTAAAATATTTTCTCTCAACTTATGTTCCTAGAAAAACGGATATTCATATTTTGGACATGCAATTAAAAAAAGAAGAAGAAGAAAAAAGTGGATGGTTGTAGTTTGATTTCTTGACAATTGACAAGAGTTATAAACTCCCAATAGGACCATTCGATAAGAATCTACCAAAATTAATGGTGTCCTTGTTTCTGTGGCTAATGACGTGGAACATATGCAATGTTGATTTTTGTTTTAATTAATATCATCTAATCTAGTGTACTTGCTTAGAATTGTTTTTATTGGATGGTCCTCAAATCCCACCTTGGCACCTTCTCCACTTTAATGCGTTCTCCATTATCTTCCCACTTCAGTTTCTTGCCAGAATCATTGCAAAGATAACTTACTATAGAAAACTTAAGATATCCTAAATACTATTGATATAATGTATGTTAATAGATTTACATGTTGGCATATATATTTGACGTATTAAACATTATTTTTGGAACTGATAAAAGATATATTCATGGAGGTTCTTTTTAATGGCTAAAATAAGTCCATTACATTATAAGTACATAACATTTACATCTATAATGGTCACCTTTTCATCGAAGCTAATTATTTCTTGATATTTCCTAGAAAAATATTGGACTAGACAAGACAAAGTAATTTTTGAATGGTTTGGGTTTGCTATTACAGGTTCTTGGATAAAGCGGCCATTAAGACATGTTCGAAAGAGTCACCTTGTACGGTGACAAAAGTAGAAGTGGCAAAGCGTGTGCTAGGGCTTATCCTAATATGGCTTGTCACTTTAGTCCCAATGACCTTATGGGCACAAGTCAACACTCTCTTCGTCAAACAAGGGACCACCCTGGACCGAAAACTTGGATCCCACTTCCAAATCCCTGCGGCTTCGCTAGGAAGCTTTGTTACACTCTCAATGCTTCTTTCAGTGCCAATGTATGACCAATACTTTGTTCCCTTCATGCGCAAGAAAACTGGAAACCCTAGAGGGATCACTATACTCCAAAGGCTAGGGATAGGGTTTGTGATCCAAATTGTTGCAATTGCAGTTGCTTCGGCCGTAGAGGTCAAGAGGATGCGGGTAATAAAGGCATTTCACATAACTAGCCCGAGACAATTTGTGCCTATGAGCATTTTTTGGTTGCTCCCTCAGTACTCTCTTCTAGGCATCGGAGATGTGTTCAATGCGATTGGTTTGCTTGAGTTTTTCTACGATCAGTCACCTGAGGAGATGCAGAGCCTTGGAACGACATTTTTTACTAGTGGCATCGGTCTTGGGAATTTCTTGAATAGCTTCTTGGTGACAATGGTTGATAAAATCACGAGTAAAGGGGGAGGGAAGAGTTGGATTGGGGATAATTTGAATGATTCAAGGCTAGATTATTATTATGGGTTTCTAATGGTGATTTCGATTGTTAACATGTGTTTATTCTTGTGGGCAGCTAGCAACTATGTTTACAAGATTGATGAGATAAAAGAGTTTAGTGGAGGATGTGTTGAAATGGAGGCCAAAGCCTTAGACACATCTCCTCTTACAATTCAACTATAACCATGCGATACATGTATATATATATATATGGTTTTCAAGAAAAAATTTAAGTTGTGGTATTCTGGTAACATGTTATGAATAAAACTTTAGTGTTTATTCTAATTAAAATTACTCAAGTTCTATATATGTCTTTGTTCTACTTGTTGAGCACAATCGACTCCACATTGGTCACTGAAGAATACACATGATACTAGTTTGAAAAAAAAAGCTGGTTAATTACTTTACAACCAACGAGCATCTGCCTTAAGATTTAGCCAACAAGAAAAGAAAAAACTATTAAACAAGCTACCTTTGAAAACCTTATCTAGCTACTATATATAGTAAGACTTAATTAAGTTTCCCTATCATTATCAAAATGCACACGTTTTGAACATCACTTAGTGAAATAGTGTGTTGCCTTAGGACAAGGGATAATTGAATGTCATTGTATAGATCAACTGTGACACTGGACCAACCCATAACATCATTTTTAATAAGTACTCTATCTTTGAAGCCTGATAAGCATAACCACAAAAAATCTAGTCAATAGTCTTCAAATTACAATGTAATTTAGGTGTTTAAATATTTACTCTGACTATTGAGTCTGACCTTTTTCTAGAAGTTATAGCTATAGGATAAGCTAAGGAAACCGGAAAAAAAAAAGTAAATGAATTAGTGATAATGTATAGCTGACACTTCACCCAACCAATAAACACAATACTAACAGGTCCAAAACCAGTTATTACACAAGAAATGATGCAACTAGTTTTTTTCTGTTTTAAAAAGACAATTGGAAAGAAAATACTGAAAGGAAAGGGCTTAAGACTACTAAACCATCTTCAAAGATTAATAAATCTCAGCAAGTCTGATGAGCAGAAGCATAAGATGCAAGTAGTTTCTTTATAGAATTAAGTATTAGTATATGTTGTTTGAATTTCAGAAAATTAAGTAGGCATGAGTCATTAATTGAATTTGAGCTGTGCTAAGATCAACTGCATCATATCATGTATAGTTCATCTAGATTGTATCAATGGAATATCGCCTTTATTATTTTGCTAAGAATGGTACATCGATTTTATTATCGATCTATATAAGAAAGAAGATAAATAGACTTCTACTCACTTTTATTGGAACTGGAATTCACTCAATAAGTCTAAAACAAAACCTTAACATCATCTAATTGTCGGTTAAACAAATAAATATACATTTGCTCGATTAAGGATATGGTTTTTTTAAACCTTCCTCCCTTATATTTGTTTGATGTAGTTAATCACCGGACCATAAATTATCATAATAAAATTATGTGTGTGTGTGTGTGTTTGTATAATGCTTTAAATAAATTTCAACCGAAATAGGAGTTGTTCTCATTTTCAATGTTGCCATATTCCAAGGTTCTTGTGGTTGGTTGAGAGAAAACACAAGAAGATGGAGGAGGAGGATGAGCCACCGTAGGTTGTGGTGGAGTCGACGGTGTTTGTGGTGGTGGTCCAGTGGCGGAGACGCTGCTGCAGTTGTGAAACCTGGCGACTTGCAAGTTGGAAGGTACGATCAAAGTAGCGACTGCTTCTCGTTGCTTGTACTTGAGAATCTCCGATCTTACGGCCGTAAGCTCGGCTTGTAAAGCATGAACTTGTTGTTGTAGAGCTGAGATTGCACCCATGCATCCGTACACCGGATCCCTTAACCTTACGTTTGCTTCATACACGAGGCTATTTGCGGCGTCTTCTCTCTGACTTTCCGGTACTTCCTGGTTAGTGGTAAACATTGTCTAACATTATGAGAAAAATTGCCAACAATATTATCAGATAGTTCATAATGAAACCAGCCAGAGAGTCCGGTCTTGAGATTTTGAAAGCTATAGATGATTTAGTAAGGATCTATTTTATTTTAACAGGATAATGAACTACTGATAAATGTTATGTCCAACTATTTATTTATTTTGTTTACTACGTCACATATTATTCTCTTTATTTCATTGCTCTTAAAAAACCACTATCTTCTTTCTAACTAACCAGTTATGGATATCTCTACAAAAAAAATGGTTAGATTTATATTAAATTACAAAAAAAATAAAAAAAAATATTCAGAATCTAGTTTAATATTTTAAAAATAAACAATTTTGGAGGCTTATATTTTTTTTAAAAATATCTCTATTTATGTAACGACCAAAGAGACGATGCGTCTAGCGGGAACAATCCCTGGCATATATCAACAACGCGATGATAATTATCACTATAAATAGATCACATGCTTCAGTCATGATGATTAATATGTACTTTGAATGGTTTCTTACCATTAGCATCTTGGATACGTTGCTAGCTCCAAAGACTTTGTGGACGGATGCGAACTTATGAGGCTCATGTGGGGAGAAATAAGGTGAAAAGGGACATTCTTGAGCGCATCTACGGCGCAAAAGCTTACATGCTGCACAAGGAGTAATGGTGTTGAGTGTTCCGGGAGGACCCAACATTGGTCTTCTAATTCCTGCCATTTGATGAGACCAAGCATCTGCTTCTCTTTTGAACCTTTTTCCTTATCTCTTCAAATCCTTCCCTAAGCACAAGGAACCGAAGAAGAACTTTAGTTTTCATTAAAAACATGAATACAGGACTAAAAGGTATTAAATCAACCACATCCACCAATTATAGGGAATAAAATCTAAATAATTGTAAAGAGAAAAAGGTTTCACTAATGAGATGTTCATCTTTTACCTTTCTAGTGACATTCAGACATGCTCTCAGAAGATCTCAAGAAAAGGGAGAAAAGTAGAAAGAAACAAAAAGAGAATATTAATTAAAGTCAAGTGACTTTTAAAGAGGGTGTGAAGGAAGATAGCCGAGGAACGCTTTAAAGGCAAGTAAAATACCACGTTTAAGATTAAGTGGTCACGATATATGTTGCGCATGTGTATATATGTGTCAGTATAGATATATATAAGCAAAACTTGAACTAGTTTGTAATAGAACTATCTTGTGGAGATAAAAAAAAGGGGGGGGGGGGGTTGGTAGCTCGAGAAGCAGAACAGTGTTTTTAACATGAAAACAACTGAAGATATCTAGTTAGTGAAACCTGAAGGTATTTACTGCTTAAGCACGTGAGCCGTGAAGTTTTTTTCTTTTTTGTTTACATTACGAATCTGATCACACAAATTATAATCATATACACTATACATACATGTTGCCACTCATACACCGGCCGGGCAACCACAGATGGCTTTCGTGATCAGCGATAGATTAATAGTATTACAAGTTTGTAATAGTATAAAGTTGGTGAAGGATTTAGAAATAATATTGTATGTATACTTACTAGAAAAAAAAAACTGGATGAAAATGATAGTTTGATGATTTTTTTTTTTGTAAAAAAAGAAATGATAGTTTGATGATATTGGCATGTTAGTTCCATGTCAAAATCAAGAAACCTCATCATCTTTAAGTGTACGTGATCTTGTTTTTCTTTCTTTAGGTTATTATATTTAACCTTGTTGTTTTTAGTTATCTCCAGCTTCAATTCGAAATCTAATAGAAAGAAGAATATTGCTTTGACTCTAAGAAAGCATTGCACTTGTCTATTCTTGTTTGACCCGTATATATAGCCTATATCGTCTCCCCGTTATTCTCTCTTCTTCTTTCTATTTGATTTTAAATTCTTACGGAGTTAAAGTTTAGCGTTATCACAGTATAGAATTTAGGATACTATAAAGACATATTAAATATTTAGAATCTAAGGTTTTTACTTTTAACTAAGGTTAGGTAAAATATTTGGATAAAAAAATGAACCGAATCTGGCCCAATAATGTAATACTAAATCCAAATCAAAACTAATACAATATCCAAATTGATCCAAAATTTTAATATCGAAAATATTGGAAATGAAATCAACCCAAACCAAAATATTCGAGTATATGAAGATATGTGAATCATTATTATATACTTAAAATACCAGTTTTTTAAAAATTTATACCTGTAAATATATGAAAATATTCAAAAAATTATCTAAAAATATCACAAGTAATTATTTTAAAATAGTCAAAGTTCTCAAAACACCGTTAATGGCTGAAATATGTATTTGTTCTTCATCCAAATATCCAAATCGGATTTCATGTTAAATTTAGGTATTTAGTCATAGTTTATTTAATTTATTATGTTGTATATATTTTTATTCGATTTTGAAGGTTCTAAGATATATTTAAAGTTTATTTTTAAAAATGAATTAAAACAGCTGTATAAACGTAAATCGGAACCGTAAGAATCCAAACCAGAATATATAACTACATGAATGAGTTAAAATCTCTGGTTCCAAAATTTTGAAATCTGAATAGAATCGAACCGAATCCGAACAAGAGAAAACGAGTACCTCGCCACCCCTACTTTTAACAGTTTTTCGTTCACAAAACCTTTTGAAGGTTCCTCTCAAGTTGACATGTACCCTAGGCCTTGCCTCTGAAATATGTGTTTTAGAAATTAGTTAAGTGGTTGATTGGACTAGAGTTCACAGGTATAAAAAAATATACCATTACGTGCTGTGCAGACTCAAAGGTATTGTATCTCTTAGCCACGCTCATCTTTAAGACTAGGGCTGGGCAAAAAAACCGAAACCCGAAAATCTGAACCGAACCCAACCCGATAAAAAGGAATCCGAATCAATCCAAACCCGACATAAATACCGAATGGATCTTGTTTTACGGTATTTCGGGTTATGGGTTTTATCCGAACCGAACCCGAACTTAAATGGATATCCGAAAGAACCCAAAACTTTAAAATTCCAAAAAAACTTATATCATACTCAATCTAAATTTCTAATATGATTCCAAAACACATTAATATATTATTGAGTACCTATAATAATTAGTTATGATATGAATAATTAACTCAAATATTTAGTCTAATATATAGTGTTATTTGGCTGTTACTAATGTATATGATTGACACTACATTTGAAGTTAAGTTACGAATAAATTTGTTTTGAAGTTTAAATAATGTTGTTTTTTTTAATTTTCAATATTACTTCTTACGTTTATATAATTGTTAGTTGTTAACTTTAACTTTTTATGTTTCATTATGTATGATTTTCGTTCATACAAGACTTTGGTTTATCATTAATCATAATATGTTTAGTGTTGTCACACATAGTTCAATGACAAATCTTATATTGTTGATAGATGAGTTTCATAATATTATTTAGAAGTAGGACAATACGGTTTGTAGAAGCTAAATACACAATTTAATAAAAAGATTGAAAATAAAGTGAATTTAATTGAGTATAAATTAGTATTTTTAGAATCGATAACCCAATAAGTATCCGAAACCGAAACTATTCCGAGTTCAACTGGATTTTGGACATGTTACTAAATCCGAACCGAACCCGATTATACCCGAACCAAATCCGACCCGAATTTTTATTATATCCGAATGAGGCTGAAATTCATGAACCCGAAAACCCGAAACCCGAATGAACCCGAACCGAAACCCGATTAGGACCCCGAATGCCCAGCTCTATTTAAGACTACCACAAAAGGAATGGTGCACCAACCTAATGCAAGCCTAATTATTCACTATTTTGTTTTAATTTCTTACTAGTTTCTCTGCCACTTTTCTTTGCCACCAACTCTGATGCCCCTTCATTGAATGATAGCATTTAAGATTGCACTAATTAGAAGTCATCAAAATTTCTACCACGTGTGCAAGAGTGGTCGAGGACTTTGAAAGCCTTGAGTCAAGAATTAAATTTTAACTAAATTATTCATCTCGTTAAAACTACTTCATTGCTTCCTGACTGTAAATTCGTTATTACAAAGATCCTTATGCTAAACATTTGTACATCCGAACCTGCTTTCCCTTTAAATAGTGAAAGGACAGACTTCGTTAGCTTGAGAACCTCATCTATGTTTTCCTTTCGGGCCGATTGGTTATGGCTGTAACTTTAAAATTTTAGCCGTAGAAAAAATGTTGTAGTTTTTTTTGTTGTAACTTTAGATTTTATTGCTGTAGATTATATGGAAAGCTCAAAAATAAATTGCTTTGAATATTTGACTGTAGAAAGTACTTGTACACTCAAATTCATCACAAAACTACATGAATATCTTGAGATATACGTTATTTAATGAAACCCAAAAAACGTTGCATATCTTAACAAAATCTACTTTTTTTTAATAATCGTGAGGATCTCAAATACTTTGTAAATTTAAAGACTAATGTTACGAGAATTTGTATTCGGATACACAACTAGTTCATCTTAATGACACAATTAGGTGGCTAAGGCGAATCAAATCCAGGCATAAGTTCCAGCTGAAAATTATGAAATTTAATTCACAATTATTAAATATCATACATGGACAAATATCATGAACATCTAAAACAACTAACCACTTATTAATATATTAACCTTCAAGTGTCAGGTAATACTCTTTATATTTTTATTTTTATATAGTCTTTGGATTAGAAATGATGAATTTGAATTATATTTGACATTAAAAATTCAAAGATCACATATTATAGAGATGCAATCATGTAAAACATTCTAGTTCTTATTTTTCAAATTCAAATGTAATCTAGAAACTGAAATATCTATAGAACAAACGAGACAAATAAAATATGAATAGAGACCATTAATGCTGGCACATGATCAGTTAATATATCGCCCATATTCTTTCTTGTCATTTGATCTTAGATAAAGCTTGACGTTGACTTATCAAAGTTTAACATCCAATCGATAAATTCGATATAACTATAGTCTAATATCGGTTAATATTCATTTTAAGCGTATACCAACAAGATTCACTGAATTTAATTACATAAACTCGAAACGATCAAACTATGAAAATCATAACAACAAGCAATCAAAACACGTGAACATTAGCATTGAGCACAATCAAACACTATGTGTGTAACTGTGTTTAAAGAGGCAAAAGCCAAAGCACTTTTAAAAATGGATCATGAAATCAAGATCCTATTTTGCATAACAAGAACCGAAATAAGATAACATGACGACATTATATCAACCTAAGATCATTGCGACTAGATCCATGTCTAAGAACAGAACACAAAGCTCTCTTCATACTCCCCATTGATGAACTAAACCCTCTTTTATAACACAACGTTGACGTTGGCGATGAGGAACCAATCTCTTCCTCGTCATCATCTTTAACGTACGATCTCGAGCAAGAAAGATAACATGTTTTAGCACGATGCCTTGTCTTAGAACGAGGAGACGATGAAGATGACGATGTCGTAGACGACCAAGAAAACGAAGGACGAGACACGTGATGCTTACCATTGAACAAAGTCTTCAGGAAACGAGTTTGTTTAGTTCTGACTTTGCTAAGTTTGTCCCCGGAGGAAGTGGAGGAGGAGGAGGAGTAATACGACGGAGGTGGAGTTAGTGGCGGAAGACGAAATGATTCAGAGAATAGAGAGTGTTTTGGTGTGCCTGGTCGTGTCTCCCACAAAAACGGCACCGAAGCTCCGCCGTAGTAATAAATTCTCGACGATGAGTTGACCTGCGAGCTCTCTTTTATTACCTTTGAAGATCTGACTCCATCTTCTGACATTGTCATTAAATGTTTGTGAGCTAGCAAAACTCCCCTCTCTTGAATGTGCTTATGTCCGAAGACAACGAAGCTTCATTCAGATATGAAAGAGGAGACAAGGGAGCATCTATTTTTGGTAACTTGATGCTATGTTAGTGTAAGAGAAGTTTGCAGAAGAATTAAAGGATCTCTATTTGCATGGAGTGTTTAAGCAAGCACATGACATGTGCTTATACTACTATTTTTTGTACTATCTGTAATATGTTCTGGATTTTTCTATGGTTAAATTTCACATGGATGACCATATGGCATATATATAATACTCGAAACAATCCAGACGCAAGAAATGGTTGGATTATAAATGAGTGGGGGCAATATACTATCAATGTGTATGCATGCCTTTAATATTATTATTACTATTTATATAGTATTTACTCTAGCTTAAATTCTTTTGTGGTAAATTAATAAATTTTTAGGAAGAATATAAAAAAGTACTACTCATAAAAACGCAGGATCTTTATTATTTTTATCATCACTGATTGAGATTAAAAATCAAGTGAACTCATGTGTGTAACTGCATACATCATCCTGTAAATGTGTAGGATACCAGAGAATGGGTGGATGAGTGTGGACCGTTGGATGTACAGTTGAGTAGTATTAATGAATATGAGATACCATTCGTGGTCCATTGTTTACGTACTGAGATTTTGCTTCAATTCGACAGACAAATATCAAGACAAAGTTAAGTTCAAAAAAAAAAAAATATCAAGACAAAGTTAGCTAGAAAAAATAAGGCGAGGCTCCTCCTAATTATTTCTTACACATCCACCTATATACGTTGCACATGCTTGAATAAATAGATAAATCGATATACACACATCTACAAGCGACGGTCTAGACACTTGTTTAGGTCAGGTGAAAAGATAAATTGTAACCTATTTCGAGGACACATACACCCTGAGACGTTCGTACGGATATGCAAATATTTTCTAAATATGTAACGAATTGTTGATGCATTTTTATGTTTGTAAATTAGAGGCTGTTTGAAGATAATTTGACTTTCATTTTTTGCCCGTAATTTTACAGTCATGCACGTACAATAAACGTATTTGCTACACAATTGGTATGCTTTAAACTTAAATAAATAAGGTATTTATAAATTACTAGAGATAAATATCAATGTATTGAATATATAAATGTGCACATGTATCACATTCATTTTTAAAAATATATTATATATTGAATTAGAAATGGTTAAATCTCATAATTTATCTTTTTACCATCTAAAATGTCATATGAAAAGGTGAGTAAATGATTAAAAAATTAGTTAAATCTTAGTTATGATAAAAAAATTATTTTTTGGTCAAAGATCCTAATATTTTTATCATACATATATATTTGGAATATCATGAAAACGAACTATCAACCACAACTGATTTGTATTATTTGCTTAATATCACTGGTTTTTTATTTACCGTTGACTTCTAAGTTACTATATTATAAAATCATTATGGTTTTTAGCATCTACATAGATTAATGATATTTACAATGATGTTTTGATTATTAACTTGGAATCATATAAAATCATCTTGATTCATATATCTAATATAAGTTGTATTTTTCACTTGTTTAGAGATCTCAATAATTTTTTTTTTTGAAAGTTTATCTTGTTATATACATAATGTATTTGAGAATTCAAGTGTAGGAAAACCTAAGCTAGAAATAAATTTGAAGTTATAAAATTATTTCTCTCTCTTTGTATTTTACTAAGTGCCCTAATATGATTATACCATTTTGGTAATGAAAACCACACAAACCAAATTGAATTCTCAGAAGTACAAACCCGTAGAAACTTTTTAGTTTTTTTCCTTGAAAATATTTCTTTACTTTTTGTCTGATACTATATACGTCACCTTCTCTCTTGTGTCTTACCTTTTCTGTCGTGTTTGAAAACTTTTATTTCATATTCCATGCTTGGAATCAACATAAACACATATTAATAGATAGTGCGTATGCATTCATATCACTTTTCACCTTTATCTACCTAACACTGATTTATCTTTAGAGCCACATAACGACTCTTTCTCCATAGCATGAGCCTTGAATGAATGAAGAATTAATAACCGAATTTTCCAAGTAAAAATGTATTAATGATCTCTTTATTAATTATTGGACCAAAAGAATTTTCAAACTATATTTAACATTAGAAGATCAATATACTTGAGAGACATCTCAAGTGATGTGGATGGTAATGATATTCAAAATTAGAAAACAGTTTGGTAAACAAAAAAAAGTTAACTGAAGTTGGAGAACAATATTTATTCAAATTTGAATTAATTTTAAATGTTAATAAAAATAGTAAAAACAATTTTTAATTATTTTCTATAAACACATCATAGAACCAATATTTTTAAATTTGACTTGGATCCGTGATCAAACCGCTAAATTGGTTATCCGATATATAATCCAATTTGTTTTTTTTCTTAAAACTTGTTATTTAAAAACCTGTTAAAACCTGGAAAAAAGAATTGGGACTCGACTACGTGTTCAACTGATGGGTGAATTTTATTTAAAATTTTATATTTTTAAGTTAGTTGATTTTTTTTTTATTTTTCTTTTGAGTCATATATAATACTCGCGCGCAAATTTATTTTGATTTGTGATTCTTTATCTTTTGAAGAAAAATTTACTATGCATCTAAAATGAAGTGAAGAAAAATGAATATAACCAAAATTAATTGATGTTATTTGATATATTTTTGACAATCAGGAGAATTATTTTTTTATCAATTTTATTAAATTAATAATGAATCATAATTTCCATAATATTCAAATACATAGATAATCTAATTGGTCAAAACAAAAAATAATTCAAACAAAACATTATAATTTAAACCAATCTCTCTACACACCTGAATCCGAAAGAGTTTAAAAAATTCCCTCAAAGATTTTACAATCTCCAGAGATATGCCTTTACCACGCTCCTACAAGTGATCTAAAGCAGAAAATAAAATTACAAATCTTAAGTAAACCTCTTAAGTTACAACTATACATAAAGGATCATTTTGACTTTTGAAAACGTTTGGGATCGTTCACAGTGGAGGCGGTGATTATAACATCCAGACTGGGGGATTGTCCATAACCAAGCTTCTCTTATGATCCTGGAGGTTAAGGATGTTGATCCAGACAGCCAAGTTGCTGAACTTTTTTTTTATTTTGAGCACTGTGCAACTTCTTGTTTCTGCATCTTGTATATCTCATAGCTCTTCTATGTGGACCGTTGGGACCAAACAGCTGCTCATGGACAAACAGTCTCGCGAAGATACTGACTGCAAAGCTTCTCATCGCTGTCCATAGCCTTGGAGTTATGTAGCTGTATGCTCCCATGTTCATTGCCTCTTCTTGGCACCAAACTATCTCAGCATCTATTTTCATATCAAAGCAAAAAAAAAAAAAAATTAGTACCACAATATATCAGAGAAAAAACCGCAGACCAAACTAAACAACACATGCTTACTTGGATATCTCTTGAGCTCAAGCTGAATGAGGTCATATGGGAAAGGACAAAGCTGTTCCACTCAACAAATAACAACATCGGTCACACCAACTTCTTCCTCTCGTCATCAAGCTTGTAATACACCTGCAAAAAAATGCAAAACCAAGAATGATTAATTCTACTGTCTTTTGCTAATATGGAACCAGAAAGACCCAATCATATAAAAAGAACGAAGTTTGCATAACTTTCCAGAACAAATTACCAGTCTTCTGATGCCTTCTTCAAGATCAGAGTGATCATTCTGATCCTTGATCAATCGCTTGAATCTAGTCCCTTGCTTGTCAAAACCTGGGTGGCCTTGGACATCATCAAACTCGGAGAGGTTTGATTTGTAGTCCTTGTGACGAAGCAAGTTATTTGGTGCCATTACAATCAGAGGCTAACGGAAATCTTTGTGTAGCTGCATCGTGTGTAACAACATTGAGAGACATTGTAAATTGGAAACACCACTCTGAAATAGCTAAAAATGATAACAGGAACATAGCTCATACATGTCGACGCAGAACATGGAAATAGTTGGCAAGAGTGGTACGTTCTTAGATTTGCTTTCTCAATGTAAGTTCCATGTCTGGTATGACATAAGGGTTGTCATCACTCATCTGTAACAAAAGACCATGTGCATTAGTTAGAGTCAAGAAGGAAATCCTAGATGCAAAAGGTAATCATAAGAAGGTGAAAAGGAAATAAGGACGGAGTTTACCGGAAGATAACGTTCCAGCTTATTTAGGAAACTGTAACAAAGAGCAATTCATTACTGTAGAAACACAGATGCGTTTTAGAGTGCACTCGAAGAGAATCTCCACAGTCAATTACAGCTTTAAACTATATGTTCTCCATTTTTGATCAAACTGAGCTTTTTGGTTTTACCTTTCTCGATGATATCAATGACTTGTTTGTTGCTCTATACACTATCGCTGGGTTGGGTTTTTATTTTTTGGTCCGGGCTCGACTTGATTGTGATTTTAGTTTGATTTTAGTTTTTTTTTTGAATTTAATTTAATATTGAAAATAATTTATTTTAACTTTAATAAAGGTTGGTTCGTTTTGTAGATTGTTGGTTTAAAAAATAATGTCGGAATATGAAAAAATTATATATTCCCCATGTTTCATATTAAGTGACATTTACATTTTCAATTCATTTTTCATATACAACCTTTTTTATCATTTCAAACAATCAATATGTTTTCATTTATGTATTCATTTAAATTATTTTATTTAAATAATGATATATTAAATAAGGATATATAATATATTTTTTATTTTCTTAATTTGTGCAAAATGTTCCTGAGTCACATTTTAAGAAACAGATGAAATATATAATAATAAAAAAATCTTAAACAATAACAGTTGAGTTGACAGTTTTATAGTAAAGATAGTTGAAGAATACCTAAAATGATTGAAATCACATTCCTAAGAACCTGTGACCGACATTGTCACACGACATTTAAAACAAAATCATAATATCTTATGCTCAAATAAAAATTTATGCTTTTATCCTTCGTATATATATTT